GGATGAGTAGTAGTCATTGTAGGTGTTGGCCCCAGCCAGTTCCTTTGAAACAACAAGAGGAATATGGGTGAACTCAGGTAAAGTGGGCCATTACTGCAGCAGAGAAAGTTCTGTGCGGGGACATTGGGACATTCTGCCTTTCTAGCAAACAAGGAGCAAGTTCATCAGAGTGGAGTGAGACTAGGAGGGGAGGGGATCAAGCAGAACTCTAGAAGGGTGACAGGTGAGTACATTTGGAAGAGACTATAACTGAGGGACAGCATTAAGCATAGACTGGCCATCAGTGATCAATAATGTGAAATGAAATCAGTGTGTGTGTGTGTGTGTGTGTGTGTGTGTGTGTGTGTGTGTGTGTGTGTCTGTCTGTCTGTGTGTGTGTGTGTGTGTGTGTGTCTGTCTGTGTGTGTTTCTAGTCAGTTCAACTGCATGATTTTGGGGGTCGAATAGGATAGAGTTTGATTTAGCCAGAATTGCAATTTGACAAACCATGTGTAATGAAAGTCAGGAGGGAACCATCCTAGGATTGACCATAGACTTTAAGGTGGCCAGGAGGAAGTGAGGACGCGAGGGGAGAGGGGGACATCCAGAGAAGATTGTTGGGGTTGAGGTAATCATTAGAATAAGTTCCAAAGACTGAAGTGATGATTAGAAAGACGATGTCTGAAACCAAGGTTTTTCATTGGGTAAATTTCTTTGGAAATCATGAAACCGGAGTTAAGCCCTTGAGAGTGAGTGGCTGAGATCACAGTCAACTCCAGTAGAGAAGACTGAAGAGCTGTGAGGTCTGCCTGGGGACTAGAGTACGTTCAGGGAGTGAAGGATATCTCACTGAGCGTTGTGACAGATGAAGTGGTGGAGAAAATGACAGTGAGTCAGTAGGAAGATCTTTCCGGACTGAAAAGGAGCATCTCTTTCTGGATTAGACAGGAGATGTCAACACCAAGTGGGAAACAGAAGTCAATGACATAGACTGTACAGCGTGTTTGCTGCAAGATTGTGACGAGAAGGTTCTGAGCCTTCAGGTACATGTGCTGAGCTGGTATCCGTGGCTGTCATTCTGAGTCCACGTGGCTCAGGGAGCAGAGCTTAAGCCACTAGGTGTATTTTTACAAGGAGGGTGATTTTTCTTTCATGTTAAAGTCTTTCTGAACAAGAGAAACAGCTGCTTACACAGCCACATTTCCCTAGAGGTGGAAATTGTCACGTCGTCTTGAGTAACCAACAGACTAAAGGAACATCTGCAGAATGCTTGAAAGGAGATTCTAGCAGTTGGAACTGATGAAGGGGGATGGGGCTGTGACAGAAGCAACTTATTCTTTCATTAAAAATGGCTGAGCATTAGTTATGGGCTAGACAAAGGGAACCAGAGATGTCTGAAAGGAAGAAGTTCTCTATGTGGTTGGAACAGATCTGCCATCAGGGGAATGTCCCATAGTTGGAAGAGGGCTAGAATAGGCACATTAGAGTCATATTGATCTGTATGAGAATAATGAGCCGGGTGGTGATGACGCATGCCTTTAATCCCAGCACTCGGGAGGCAGGTGGATCTCTGTGAGTTCAAGCCTGGTCTATAGAGTGAGTTTCAGGACAGCTGAGGCTACCCAAAAAAACCCTGTCTCAAAAACAAACAAAAACTGAGAATTCAGAAAGCTTGAAAGAGAGAAGTTGGTGTTGGAAGGTAAAGTAGGCGTGGCCCACATGGAAGACAGTCCCCTCAGAAGGAAAGTTAAGGGACGAAAGTGTCTGGAACATTGAGAGCTCTCCCTGCGTTCCCCGGATAAATCATTTCTTTTTCTTGTCTGTTTCTCTATTTGTAACACTGGGATAGTATTGGCCTCTATGAGTAGGGGCTAGTGAGGAGTCAGTGAAGTGCTGTGCATTAACACTTATCACAGGGATGGCTGCAGTCCTCAGCGCGGGGGTGGGGGGATGGGGGGATGGGGTGGGGGTGTCTCACCTCAGTCGGTGTTTAAAACAAGCCTGGGATGTAGGATCAGTGACCATCCTCACTTTACGGTGAGTTAGCTGAGGCTTGGGGCTTGAGTCAACCAAGATCACGTGACTGGTGAGAAACAGAGCATGGACTCTTCCCCCAGATCAGACAGATAACAGGTCACATGCTCTGAATTGTATGATCCAGTGCTAAATGAATCATCGATGTTGGTACCACAGTCATTAGTTTGTCCTCCAGGGCCAAGGGCCCTGGTCTCACGTTTACAGCTGGTTGAAGATCACCAGACTAGCCATCTCATCAGTGGCAGTGACTACCTTTGGAAGACCCTTCTGACCCATGCTAGATCTAGATAGACCATCTCAACTGGTTTACTTTTGGGATCAAGTCAGGCATGGCTTTTAATCCTCAGGAGGCAAGACTTTCTGAGGAAATGCAGTTGACATGACAAAGGAAGAGCTTGGGTAGATGGCTGCTTCTTCTTCTTCTGTCTGAGGGTGCTACCAATCAAAAATCTCATGACCCAAAAGCTTGTGTCTTAAGATTGGCAGGAAACCTTCATCTGCAGGCAAGAGATTCATCCAAGGGTCAGTGCTCTCTGAGGGGGTTATGAAAGAGCCTCTTCCGTCAACAATGCCTGAAACAAGCAAAACCGTTTAAAGACCTGCTTCATCCAGCAAATGCTTCCTGAGCTCCTGCTAAGAGCTCGACACTCACCAAGTGTCTGCAGTTACTCGCTGACAGTAGCATTGAAGAAGGCCGACAAGGTCGCTTATATCCGTAGTGAAAAGAGGCAGCAATCCCTTAATATGAATGCGCGTACAATACAGTGGTAAATACTGACACCACAAAGGGAACTGATGGATAGAGGGGGGGGCGTCAAAGCCATTTTCTGATTCTCCCAGGAGACTGCTCCAAATCCAGTTATTCTTGGAATTGGTAAAGAAAACCTTGAACTTTTTTTTTCCCCTCCCTCTGAGCTGAGGACTGAACCCAGGACCTGGGACTTAACTAAGCAAGCGCTCTACCACTGAGTTAAATCCCCAAGCCCAGCCCTGAACTCTTTGGTAAAGGATAAAATGACATCTTCCACTGTGTGCTTCTGTCATGGCCAGAGCCTGCCTTCTGTCTTGCTCCTGCTCATGATAGCCGCATCTTCTTTCAGCCAGAGCCTTCGGTCTTCAATGGAGCAGCTTCTCCATTTTGCTGACAAAGCTGGCTGTCGGGGTAGCGAGGTGAACCCTGTGGGTGCGGCCAGTCCTCTCTGACAGGATCTCTTCCGGTTTCCATTTTACAGGAAAGCTAACGCAGTGTTAGGAGACTCAGTAGTCAAAGGTTATGCTTACAAGCTTGCTTTCTGCCTTATGGTGCTGGGTCTCAAGAAGTGGCTTCAAGGCCCGCTTGGTATTTTGTAGCCAGTGGAAGATGAATACAGATGAAGTGTACTCTCAATATTGTCCCCAAGAGTTCGCCTTAGTTACCTAACAAACAGAATCAGAATCAGAAAGAATGCCAGCTCCTCAGCAACTTTCCAGGCCTGACCCTTGAACATGCTTGATTTGTAGCTGCGATCATGGGTGTAAGGATAACGTGTTTCCACTAAAATAGTTGAAGTGTTTTCCTCTCTATAGCTACAAAAGTTCACATGTATTTATATTCATGGGGATGTAACTTTAAGGGGTGTTTAGATATAAATAGGTTTAAAAACCGTTATAAATAGGTTTGAGATTAAAACCCCTTTCTTTTATACACATATTGCTTTATAGAGTTCACATTCTTTCCTCATTAATCCTCTTTTAATCCCCTCAGCTGTAGGAGGTAGGAACTCATTTTACACTTCAGGAGACTGAAATGCATATCTCCTCCTTTTTGTTTACTCAGCCCTAGATTTATGGCAGTTTGATCAGTAGGCACAGGGTCTTAGTGCTCGCGTACTTTCTAGAAGGGTTGAGCTATGTGCTTTTCCTTCAGTGCTCTGACAACTATGTGATCTGCCCAGCAATGCCTCAGACTGTTTCCAGTACCACCAAGTGCTTGCTGTCCAGTCTGTAACCTGGGGCTTTAACCCTCCTTCCAGGTCTCTCTTAAGATCAACCTTAAATATCATATGCTTCTCAGCTGTTGTTTTTAATCGATGATTTATCTGTTCAAGTTACTTGCCTCTTTCTTTTGGGAGGCTTTTTTTTTTTTTACCCTACTAGCCCTTTATTTTTATTTTTAAATTTTCTTGCAATTAAATTCACTTAGCTTTCCCGTTGCTATTTTTTGAATATAGCATCAAAACTGGAAAGACTCAATAATATAGAGTGAGTTCTGTTTTTAGCTTTAAAGATGTTATATATGTTATGCTAAACATATAAAGCTTGGCTTTTCTTTTGATACACTAGGGATCAAGCCCAGGGCTATATGTTTACCATACAGATACTCTACCACTGAGCTAAATACCTTTTTATCCCCCCCCCCCCTTGAGCTATATTTCTTGGTTATTTTTTTTAATCTTAAAGAGTAATTCATGTCTATTTTAGATATTGTTGAATGTACATAAAACTTCAAAGATGGAAATGTCCCTTATTCCACAACCCTAGGCACCATTTTTTCCTAGTGCTTTTTCTTTTTAAAGTATTATTTCTGAATTTGAATAGTATTTATAGTTCGGTAACCATGTTAAAAATACATGATGAATTGAACTTCCCCATATCATTAAATATTCTGTACAAATAAATAATTTTTAAAAATCTATCTGGAGTGTTTTGGGGGTGGTGAACCTTTTTGCTGTTTATTTCTAAGGAGAGACTGGTCACACGCTTCTCCCCAGATGGTTTTGTAGTGCCCACTTTAACCTTTCTAAAACATTCCTACTCTCTACACTGTCCCTGCATCTTGAGTGTTGCGTCTGTAATTTGTCTTTACGTTTTCCGGCATGCTCTGGGCTTCCTGAGATATGCCATAGCCCACAGCTACAAAAGCGCCCAAACGTCCTGTTAATGTTTAACACCACTCTGCCAGAAACATCACTCTAACCCCCCCCCCCCTTTTATTTGTATTTAAGATGGTTTTTGATCATCCTGAGAAAAATGAGCCCTGGCCGCCAGACCTAATCAAGTAAACCTCCTTCCCATGGACAGTAGTGCTGGCTCCTGAGGACCTGGAGGCCTGCAGCCCCAGAGGGATTAGCAGGTAAGAAATGCCTACAAGTTTGAGAAGGTGGAGGGGGCCGTTCCTGAGCAGAAGAGCGCGAGCCTGACTGAGCTGGCAGCGGCTCGGGTCTTTCTCCTCTCACCACAGCTTTGCAGCTTTCCTCAGTTTCTTCCTTTCTTAGTCTTCTAAGCACTTGTTCAGTGAGGGCCAAGGAGGTGGGGACAGCAGGTCTGTCCAACTCTGTAAACTACAGACAAAAGGTCTGAACTGTTCTATAACTGCCAGCCTTTTATGAGAGCGTTTCTATGCCAAGGATTCCATTTGACATTGAATGTGCTTCAAGGAGTAGCTAGAGCAGACTCCTTCCTTACAGAGGTTTTCTGTATTATCTAGTGTTGGTCTGGTCTCCGTGGGTGGTAATGTACATGACTGCAGTATCCTTTTTCAGTTTATATGCCAAGGATTCCATTTGACATTAAACATGCTTCAAGGAGTAGCTAGGGCAGACTCCTTCCTTACAGAGGTTTTCTGTATTATCTAGTGTTGGTCTGGTCTCCGTGGGTGGTAATGACTGCAGTATCCTTTAATCAAGACGTCTTCTCCAGGTGTAAGGATTCATTTGCTTCGGCTTTGTCTCCTTACTAATCCCTTACTGAGCGTCACTCTGTTCCAGGTTCGGTTCTGGGGCCAGTTGTTTAGACATGATATCAGGAAGCATTCTCCTCTGATAAGGGCTAGGCTCAAAATCCAAGCTTTGTAAACATAGCTTGCTAACAAGTAGGGCTTGTGGTGAAAGTCAAGGGCAGAGAACTCATCAGCTGCAAAGCCTAGAAGTTTACACACTAACTCTGCTGATAGAAAACAATTGAAGCATATATTGTTCTCCAAAAAACTGTGGCGAAAAGGTCACCTCTCCTTTCCCTGAGGTAGGTGCTAGGTGGGGTCTTTCTCTGTGTCTTGCTCAGAGAGCTTCGTAGTAGAATATTGTTTCAAGGTGTGTTACTTTTGTTTATGCTGCATTTGTTGAACTCTGTGAAGCTGTTACTGTGCCTATGTAAAACACCTGATGGTCTAATAAAGAGCTGACCAATAGCAAGGCAGGAGAGAGGATAGGCAGGGCTGGCAGGCAGAGAGAAGATATACAGGGAGAAATCTGGGAGGAGAGAGCTAGGAGCCAGAGCAGGAGCAGGACTCCAGGGGCCAGCCACCCAGCTACACAGTGAGTCACAGAGTAAGAGTAAGATTTACAGAAGTTAGAGAACGGGAAAAGCCCAGAGGCAAAAGGTAGTCGGAATAAGTAAGGGAAAGCTGGCAAGAAACAAGGCCAAGCTAATGCCGGGCATTGATAATGAAGACTAAGCCTCCGTGTGTGATTTATTTGGGAGCTGAGTGGCGGGTCCCCCAAGAAAAGGGTGAAACCGAACAACAACAGAGCTAGGCAAGTGGGAATGGGCCCTTCAGCTCTGAGTGACCATGACTAGAAACCCTTGCTTGCCTTGCCTCAGGTAAAGATAAAATGAAGGGACCACAAGCACTGATGGAAGGTTCCAGATGAGTGTGGTAAGGCCCTGAAGGCCCAGGCCAGCTGAGGGCTCTCAGACTGTCATTGGTAGAAATTCCTTTTTCCTAAGCATCCTGGGAAAGGCAGTGGCAGGCTCCCCTGAGCCTCTGCTCTGGTAACAGTGAAGTGGGACCCTTGCTGCCATGGCCTTTCCCTTAGAACCGTAAGTCACATTCCAACTCACCATTTCCACGTCACTCACAGGAGTCAGGATTGCATGTATTTCCCAAACCTACACAGAGATCTCATGGGAGGATCATACTGGATATTGTAACACTTAATTCACGTGAAAGAGCCCTAGTAAGGGGAGCCCATCAACGATGCCCGATGGAGGCTGCTTTGCTCTGACTGAGAGTTTCATTTCTGGACGCTCTAGTTTCTGAGTTCTAACCAGTAGTTCTCAACCTTCCTAATGTTGCGACCCTTTAATACAGTTCCTCAAACTGTTGTTGTGACTTCAAACCCTACAATTACTTTGTTGGTACTTCATAACTGCAAATTTGCTGCTATTGTGAATCGTAATGTAAATATCTGCTACTCAGGATAGCTGATATGTGACTCCCGAAGGGATTCCGTCCCACAGGCTACGAACCGCTACTGTTAACCGGTAGCTACAGACTAATCTGAACTGGAATCCTGGTTCTCGCAGTGCAGTGAGCTGGTGACACTGGAGAAGACTGCTAAAGCCTTAATATCTTCATTCTCACACAGAGCTGTAAACATTTACTTTGTAGTGTCTGTCTGGTGGGACATTGAGGTAAAGTGCTCAAGTGATAGGGTTTCTTTTCCTTTTTCTTTGGATTTCCAAGACAAGGTTTCTCTAGGTAGCCCTGGATGCCCTAGAACTCGCTCTGTAGACCAGACTGGCCTTGAACTCACAGAGATCTGCTTGCCTCTGCCTGCCGAGTGCTGGGATTAAATGTGTGCACCACCACTGCCCAGCGTATCTGAATTCTTATCCCTCTGAGTACATTATTGTTTCTAAAATACCCTCCATTCCACCTTTCCCTCACTGGTATCGTTCCCCACACGACCCTCTTGTCAAAAGGCTGCTCTCCCTTCTCAGAGTACCTCTCCAGCCTTTGCTTGTATGTAGTTCCAGCTGGTCAACACATCCTTTTATTTAACACACCACAGGGGAAGTGAGCAGAGATGACTGACTACTACTCAGGGGCAGACATATTGACTTGGTCAAGGTCACTAAGAGTGGAATCAAGAACCCAGGCTTCCTGAACGTCCCGTCTAGTAGTTTCACTGCTTTGTCTCAAACGGCCTTATAAACAAGCTTGGTGGGAAAGGACTTCAGACTCCCAGTGTAGACAAAGCCCCAGGTGCAGTTGCTTTGACTCATCACAGTGAGTAAACTCTGAAGAAAGAGTTTAGTGTTTTCCAAAGGACACAGACCTTGTTTGAGTTCAAAGGGCTCCCATCTTCCATTTAGTTACACACAGGATTTTGAGAAAACAAAGCAGCCCTTTGCCCAGATGGGAAGGGACTCTCTTTGCTGACTTACAAGATTCCTATTCTCTGTCACAAAATGATGTAGCTACTCAGATACACGGAATATTGGACTGTGAGGCTAACTAACTCCTGTCTAGAAGTCCCAGATCACAGGCCTTCCAGAACTGTATCCCAAATGCATGCGGGATTTCTCTGGCTCTTTTGACTGATGTCGGACTTCAGAGAATCTGGGTCTTGTGTATGGATGAGTTAGTCCGCTCCCTTTTTGTTTGTTGCTTTCAAGCAGACATGTCTTGGTTTCACAGAGAGCATGGGCTATAGGAGTGGAACGATATGAGAGGCTCTGGTCTAAGCTTTTTGAGTGAGCTAGGGTATAACAGCAAAGGTCAAGAGTCACGGTGTGCAGACTAAGTCGGAGGAAGATGCATAAATGTTCAGGGCTCAGTCAGGAATTCAGAGGAATGCTGTCTACATTCAGAGTCCAAACAAAGGCTCCCCCTGCTCTCCCCCCCCCCCCCCCCCCCCGCCCCCACCTCCTCCTGGCTTGCTCAAGGCTGCATCGTTGGTGGGAGGCAGTCGGGGCTGGACTTCCAGTCCGTTTATGCTAGACCCTTTGCTTTGGCCCACCACCCCACTGCATGCCACTTTGGATATCCTCTCCATCATCGTTCTTTCCCTATTCTACTTTTCCTAGGCTTGGTTCCTGCTCACAACAGTGGCTTCCTGCCCATACCTGTCATTATGATTCACACCAACTTGAAGAAAAAATTCAGCTACTTCATCCTGGCCTTTCTCCTGTTAGCAGTCATCTGTGTGTGGAAGAAAGGGAGCTATGAGGCTCTTAAATTGCAAGCCAAGGAATTTCAGGTGCCGAAGAGCCTGGAGAAGCTGGCCATGGGGTCTGGTTTACAGTCTAGGTCTGCAAGCAGCCAACAAGACCCTAAGCAGGACAGTCAACTCCTCAGTCATCTCAGGGTCACTGCCAAGGTCAAACCACAGCCCTCCTACCAGGTGTGGGACAAGGACTCCTCATCCAAAAACCTCAACCCCAGGCTGCAAAAGATCCTGAAGAATTATCTGAACATGAACAAGTATAAAGTGTCCTACAAGGGGCCAGGGCCAGGAGTCAAGTTCAGTGCCGAGGCCCTGCGCTGCTACCTTCGAGACCATGTGAACGTATCCATGATAGAGGCCACAGATTTTCCCTTCAACACTACTGAATGGAAGGGTTACCTGCCCAAGGAGAACTTTAGGACCAAGGCTGGGCCCTGGCACAGGTGTGCCGTTGTGTCCTCCGCAGGAGCTCTGAAATCCTCCCAGCTGGGCAGAGAGATTGGTATGTCAAGAGCGCTCTCTGGGCAGGGACTGGTTGGGGGAATTTCAAGGCCCTAGAACAAGAACCCATGCATACATAGCTTAGAGGACCAGGAGAGTTGTCCCAAGGCAATGTTTTCAGCTTGGAGTGAAAAATACCCCCAAAGATGTCTAAAAAGACAGGGACCAAGGGTTAAGCATTTTTTTTTAAATTTAATTTTAAGAATTGATTCTTTGAGTATATTTATTTTAACTGTATTCGATCCACTTCCTCCTTCTCACTCCTCCCAGATTCCCCACCACATCCCCTTCCCATCTCCATGTCCCTTCCCCCTCTTCTTTTAATGACCGACTTAGACAAATGAATACTGCCCACATACACGCGGATGTGATCTTCCACTGTAGTGTGATCCACCTACCAGGTCTCACACCCCTAAAGAAAACAGTCCTTCACCCCGAAGCCATCAGCTGCTACTCCTTCTCCACTTAGGGGTGGGATCTCCAGCATCCCCCCCCCCCGGCCCCCCCCCCCACCCCATGCTGATTTGAGGTTGTTGAGGTGATGTAGGTCTTGGGTAGGCAACCGCAGCCGCTGTCAGTGCACGAGTGCCATGCTTCTGTCATTTCTGGAAGACACTGTTTGCCCCAGTCCTCCCTGGCCTCTGGCTCTTACAATCTTTCTATCCTCTCTTCCATGACATCACTTGAAGGTCTACTGTGTCTTTCTCCATTAGGATTTTTTTTTTTTATCTCTTTCGAATACTGGTGTTCTATGGAGTATTCCACTAAACAAACAGAGAATTATAGCGCTGCCCCACAGTGACCTTCAAAATACTTGAAGCAGAGAACCGGACTTTGTTTTCGGGTATCTAAGCTTATGTTTGTTTAAAATCCTGTGCAGAGTGGGCAGCCACATGCCACAGAGGTCAGCCTCAGGCTTTGGCCATCACCTTCCACCCTGTTTCAGACAGGGTCTCTCTGTGCTTTGCCGTTGCTGGGTACCCCAGGCTAGCTGGCCTATGAGCTACCAGGGATTCTCCTGTCTCTGTGTCTGCCTTCAGGTGGGTACTGAGAGTTGGGCCTCACGTCCTCAGGCTTGTATTTTACCCCGAGCTGTCTCCTTAGTTGCAATTCTGATACATGGCAAAGTCTTTTAAGTCTCACCTGGCTAATTTTCAGATTTCTCTTAAAAAGAAAAACCATTATATATATAACTCAGCAGTAATTTGTGTGTGTGTGTGTGTGTGTGTGTGTGTGTGTGTGTGTGTGTGTGTATGTATGTGTGTATACACACATGTACATGTACTGGATATGGAGGTCAGAAGATAACTTTGTGGAGTTAGTCCTCTCCTGACACCTTTATGTGTATTCTGCTGATCAAACTCAGTTACCAGATGTGGGCAGTAAGCGCCTTTAGCTGATGAGCCTTTGCAGGCCTTCCAGCTGGAACTCTTAAATTTTGGGGGGAAGGGAGTGGGGGAAAACATAGGCTAACACCAGGTGTTAAATGAATCCTTAAAGTTGCCTGCAAAGCTGCCTGGGGTTTAGGTGTTTGCAAGCCTGTCTGCCTTTTTCTAATCATGCACCTGATTCTCAGAGTGCTCTGTAATTGAAAGAGACCCCAGGTCAAAATACACTGGTTTGCTATTCATGAAACCCCTAGCAGCTAATAAAGAGCCGAAGTCTGTTTTCATATTGGCAACCCTGCAACTGAGGGCTAACTAATTTGTGCAAAGCCATTTATTTCTGTTATTTTGAGAGAACTCTGGCTATAGGGAAAGCTTTGCCGTCAGGCTGGGGTCCTGGAGAAGGTGAGGTCATATGCTCCTTTTAATTTCCTTCTGGTGACTGCCCAGGAGAACAACCTGGAACCAGGCAGAAACATTCAAAGGGGAATGCAGACCCAAACTGGATTCTCTAGAGCAGAAGGTGAAAACACACTTTCTGTCTCCCCAAGTCCGTAGTGATCCTAATGAGGCCCCCACAACTGGCTAGCCTCACCCCAACTTTGGTTTTACCCTTTTGGTTTCTTTGAATTTCTTTCTAGAAAACTAAATGTGATTGATTTCTGCTGTGTGTAATAGAATTAATTTTCTTTTTTCCTTTGCATTTGCTATAAAATAATGGCATTTAGGATGGTTCAAGTTGGACGACCCTAGTTCTTTCTCTCAAGTTATTGTCTGGCTAACATTGTGTTCAGGGTGAAAGAGGAAGCCAAACCTCTTTGTAAACTGGAGCCACAGCTTCATTTTAATGCAGTTTTTAAAAAACATTTGAGTTCATTCACAGACTCATCAACACCACGAATAGCAGCCTGAAATACTAAGGCTCAAGAAGTGTTGCAACATTGAAGCTGTTGGGCATGTCATGACTGTGGAGTCTAATGATGACTTCATACATACTGCTTTTAACAATGAAGTTCAGATCATCTGAGAGGCTGCTACTTTCCTCCAATGGAGAAATAGCCCCAGGAATTGGGTTAGAAAGCCCACTTGTGTAGAACTTTGGTGCAGTGGTTCTAACCTGTGGGTCGTGACCCCTGCAGGGTCCCATACTAGATATCCTGCATAGCAGACATTTATATTATAATTCATAATAGTAGCAGAATTACAGTTGTGAAGTAGCAATGGAATAATTTTATGGCTGAGGGTCACCACAACATGAGGAACTGTGTTAAAGGATCTCAGCCTTAGGAAGGTTGAGATCCACTGCTGTGGTGGTTCTCTTCCATCCATGACGAGATTGTTCGCTAGAGAGACTCCTCACTGTCTTTTGCCTCTAGTAGTCCCACAGATCAGACTATCGTGGCTCAATAATCATTGGGACCTTTAAAAAATATTATTATTAATAGTGTATTTACGTATATAAGCTATGTAGGTAAGTTGAATTTTATTTCAAATAATGGCATATTTTAACATACTCTCACCAATAAGAATGACATACTGTGTACTCACTGTGTGCTTGGCATGCCTGCTTTTGTCTGGTTTTTACATTTTATTTTTGTGTATGGGTGTTTTGTCCACATGTATGTCTATGTACTGTATGTGTAATTAGTGCCCATGGAGGCTGGAAGAGGGCATCAGATCCCTGGAACTGGAGTTATACACATAGTTGTGAGCTGCCATGTGGGTGCTGGAAACTGAACCTGGGTCCTCTGGAAGAGCAGCCAGTGTTCTTAACTGCTGAGCCATCTCTCCAGCCCCCCAGTTTCAAACACATAACATTTTTGTTCACTGAGGATTTCATCCATACACACAGTTTATTTTGTTCATACTCACACCCACACCCACTCCTCTCAGATCCACCTCTGGCTCCTCCTAACTTCTAGTTCTCGGTTTGTCTTAATAGTCACTGAGCTCAGTCTGTGTTGCTCACGCACTCATGGGTGTGGGGCCATCCATGTAGCTTCGTCTACCCTCTAGGGGCTACACCTTTAAAGAAAACTGACTCATTTTCCTTTAGAAGCCATAAACTCTTCCTGACTTTTCAGCTAGGGGCACACCCCCCCCCCACCCCCCCCCCACCCCCCCCCACCCCACCCCCCCCCCCCACCCCCCCCCCCCCCCCCCCCCCCGCAAGCTGCTGGGGTGTGGACTGGCTTTGTCCTGTGCAGTACCACCTGCTGTCTTAGTCCCACCGTCCTCCTCATGAGCTAACTGGAGGCCCAAGAGATTGACACCACTTGCTCGTGAGCAGAGGAGGGGTTGAAAGCGGCCACATGATCCAAAGACACCCATGGTTAGGTTTTCCTCTCTTATGTCTCATAATGATAGTGGCCTCTAAGTGAATTTGGCCGGCTTCATCCTTTCTTGCTTCCCCAGCGGAAAGAAAAACAGCATCCTGAGGCAAAAGCAGGAAATGAAAACTCCACGGAGCATGGTCGAGTGTGTTGGGGTGTGGGGCCCAGTGGGTGGAGAAAGGGTGAAGACTTAGGTCGGAAAGATCTCCAGGAATCAGCGTGAGAGATGACAGGCTCCACAAGGACTTTGGATTTTGGTCTTTGGTTTTTAAAAAAAAAAATCAATCCAGACTTCATGCCCCAGTCCTGTGCTGATCCGTGCTGATCCGTGCTGAGCTGTGCATCTTTTTTCTTCTCTTTATTTTCCTTTCCCTAGCCCAGTGGTTCTCAACCTGTGTGGGTCATGACCCCTTTGGGGGGGGGGGGTGAATGACCCTTTCACAGGGGTTGCCTAAGACCATCAGAACATACAAATATTTACAGTACAATTCATAGCCATAGCAAAATTACAGTTAGGAAGTAGCAATGAAAATAATTGCATGGTTGCGGGGAGGGTCACCACAACATGAGGAACTGTGTTAAAGGGTCGAAGCGTTGGGAAGGTTGAGAACCACCGCCCTGGCCAGTTCTCTGCCTGTGTTGTGCTTTCTGGTTGGAGGGACTCCTGGCCATGCCTGCCTAGCCTTTCTGTCTCAACTCTGAACCACCACACCATTAAAAGGAGAGTTTTTGAGTGCCTGTGTCATGGCATGAATCATAGTCGGTGACAGGCGTAGATTGCTGTGTATACCTTCTGTCTCTATGCAGTAAAATGCAAGGTCTTCGTGGGCAAGGATCTTGTCTTTTTTTTTTTTTTTTTTTTTTTTTTTTTTTTTTTTTTTTTTGCCCATATCATTGTCTGTAGTGCCTAAAACTGTGCCTGGCATAGTAGTCTTCAACCGGTATTTTCTGCATGAAGAAACGATCATCCTTTCTTAGGGTCAACATCAAGGACCTATCCAAAACTTTCTGCAAGGAGGAGCCTCCATTTTTCCCTCCAACCCCCGCCCCCGTCCCCTTCCCACCTGCCTCTGGAAGTTGAAATTTTGGACTATGTCAGTGGGTATGTGGGTATGCCCTGCCTTCTGGCTTGTCTGGAGCTGGCTCAGGGGAGCACTGGCGTGCATCTGGGAAGGAGCAAGGTAGGGCTCAGTTTCACTTAGTGCCCCCCGGATGACCTCTGGCTGTGGTTTTCTGGGATCCCATCAGGTGGGACTTTCCAACTCTGGTTTTACCTCTCATTTCCCTTCAGTTCTGTGAGATGGGGGATGAAGCGGAGGGGGAGGGGGAGGGAGAGGGATTGATTCCCTCCCTCAGTCTATTTGCTGGCTGGATGTTAGGGAGAAGCAGTGTTCCTCTCCTGCAGGGCACAGCTGGGGACAGTGACCTTCCTCTGATCAGAGTCTCTGCTCCTCCTGCCCTGGTATGCCTTGGGGTAGAAACAGCTCCAGGCAGCCTCTATGCACCATGAGATAAAAATGTCATGTATTTTGATCTCCCCTTCCTTCCTCTTCTCTGTCTTTCTTCCTACATATTGCTAGCACTCACCCACCTACTTCCGTTTCCTGTGGTTTGCAGATAATCACGATGCAGTCCTGAGGTTTAATGGGGCACCTGTCCGCCATACTTCCAACAGGATGTGGGCACAAAAACGACCATTCGCCTGATGAATTCTCAGGTAAGAGTTCTTTCCTCCAGATAGTGCATGAGACTAAAGCGACTACAGTGTGGGCCCCAGTGCCGAGTGTACCCACATCAAAGCTGCCAGCTTGATTCAGTTTCTGGACCTCCCGGGTCCCAGATACGTCACTGAAGAAGGGACAGTGATCCCGTGGCCAACCTTGTGATGTGCCCTTAAAATCGTCTCCCATGCTGATGCTGATAGCGTGTATGGATGGGGCTGCCTAAGGTCTAGGGATACGGGGTTCTGGTTTTCCTTGTAACCATGCAATTGTGCCTGTAATTTTGGACAAGAGACAGCCGAGTCCAGGGCATCCAGGAGAGAAGGAGAGAGAAGGAGGAAGGCTGTGTAAAGGGAGCAAGCATCCACGCAGAGCTCGAGGTGGGCTGTAAAACACTGCACCAACGTAGGACACACCACCGCCGCCGCCGGAGTCTGTAGACCATGTCCTAGAATCCACGCATTGCTTCCTGAGTTTCCTAAGTCCTTCCTGAAAGTATTTCTGAGTAGTAGACATGCTGTTTTCTCAACGCCAGCAAGAACTTTAGACACGTCCTTGCCAAAATTCCTGTTACTAAATTTAGTGACAAACACTGAATTATACATAGCCTGTAGCCAGGCACAGCGCTGCACACATGCAGTCCCAGCCACGCAGGAGACTGAGCCAGGATTAAGACTCCATCTCTAAATAAATAAACCAGTTCTCGACAGGGCCTCCAGTCCAGCACTGTTGGCAGTGAGCTTTGCTCTTCCCTGAGCAAAGGCAGGAGCCTTAGCTGTTCCTCTGTGAGTGTCTCATCTGTCTGCCTCTGAGGACTCCAGGGCCTGGAGAGGACCAGAGAAGCCCTGCCAGCACTTGGCTAGTATAGAGCCTGCTGCTTGTCCTGTAGCAGGGCCCTGGTGCTGAGTGTGTCCCCATCAAAGCTGCCAGCTTGATTCAGTTTCTTGACCTCCCGAGTCCAGATACGTCACTGAAGAAGGGACAGTGATCCTATGGCCAGCCTTGTGATGTGTCCATAAAAAAAGAAAGAAGCTGGACCCTGCACTGCTTCCTGTACAGTGCTCTTTCTGGGGGAGGCCCACAGTTGAAGGGGGGCGGGGGAGGCACAGAACTGCTGTGCATGCAAACTTGTTTCTTGGTTTTTTTTTTTCCCTGTCATATCTTTTTTGGGGAAGAGAATATCTTGCTATGCTGCTCAGGCTGGCCTTGAACTTTCAGTTCTCTTCTCTCTCAAGTGCAGAGAGTCACCTGCTTGAGTCACCATGCCCAGTTTTAAACCTTTGTATTATTGTCATTTTAATTTAAAGACAAGCCGTCACTTCCTATACTGGCGGTATCTCCAGTGCCCAGATATTTTCAGTGTCTCTGTTATTCCACTAGGGATTTTTCCTTTGTTTTCTTGAGACAGGATCTCTCACAGGGACTTGGGGCTGCAGATTCAACTACACTGGCTGACTTGCAAACCCCAGGGATCGATCTCTGCCTCTCCGGCACTGAGGTTACAGGAGCATGCCATTATGCCCAGTTTTTCTTGTGGGTGCTAGGAATGGAGCATGTGTCCTTGTGCACCTGCAGGGAAGCATTTTACCATCTCCCTAGGCCTACAGTTTGGATTTTTATATCACTTTGTTCAGCAATAGAAGAGATAAATGTTAGAGAAATGGTTTGATTAACAAGATTCTCTGGTCTTGATTCCAAAAGGGGCTGGATTCGGAACAATACCAACAGGGAGGCCTGCCTGAAGGAGGGATTGACAGGACAGAGAGACTCAGAAAGTGAGAGATTCTTCCTAGCTGCGGCTGGCCTGAAGGAAGAGGGTAGCAGGACTCACGTTGCCTGGTGAAGTGGGTGAATCTGGGCTTCCCGGTTGCTCAGATTAACACACCTGAAAATCTGATATGCCGCTAGGATCTTTTCCCCCCTCTAAAATCTCTTTATGTTTTGCCTTTAATGTTTTACCTGGTTTTCTCTTCTCATGCCCCAGACACAGGAACCCCGAGCTGGGAGCACCTTAGGGAGCACTGATAGCTATCTTCTGCTTCCATGTGAGATGGACTGATGACAATGCACACATGTGCCCATTCATTCAGCGAGTGTTTAGAGTATTAGATACTTAGTAGCAGTCAGTTCTTGGCCTCCGCAGATAGCTTGCCTGAGGGCTTGGCAGGACAGCCCTACTCTTTTACTAGCAGAATCATCACGCATAAGTTTACTCTCTAAAGAGGAGAATAACAGTATTTTCCTCATAGAGTCATTGTGAACTACAGATGAAGAAAACGTGGGAGGTATTTGGAGTATTGCATAACAGATCTCACACAAGAGAGGGGGTGGGTGCCTCTGAGCGAGCACAAGAGAGAGAGACGGAGACACAGAGAGGGCCGTGATGGTGTGGACTTCATAAAGGATGCTGACTGATAGCGACAGTGGAAATGTATCACATTTGGTGGCTGATGATGACGTGGCTGCTGGTGCTGGGCCACTGAAGGTGGGCGGGGTGCGGGGTGGGGGAGCGATCACCTGGTCCTGGGATGTGGGCGGTTCCTAACTCCTAGGACAGTCCTTGGCTGCTCTTACTATTTATCTGCAGACAGGGAGCTAGGAGTGGAGAGCGCAGTCCTGAGTGGAACAACCTCAGCCTCTCTTTTCTGACCTCCCCCTAGATAAAAGCAAGTACTCACACAAAGGAGCCTCAAGTTACAACAGAGAACTTCACAAGTGGGGACATGGAGCTAGCGGGGAGCCCTGCCAAGGAAGTCCAGGGTACAAGAAACAAGAGAGCGGGCACATCCGGAACTCGGGTCTTCAGGGCCTTCTCTTGGCCCCGCCTTGTAGGCCTGATAGTTACTGAAGTCTCAATGGGGGTTGGAACTTCCAGATCAAAGGCTGGAATGGCTACCCACTACAGGTGCAGGGACTTCCTTGGCCTCAGTTAGGAGGGTCCTGCTGCCTGTAAAAGTGCGCTTGGACCAGAGTAAAGACTACATTTGAGAGCTAGTGGGGGGCAGCTGGGTGGTTCCGTAGATTAAAGAATTGTTTTAAGTACGCCAGTGTGGTTTTTGTTGAAACAGTTGTTACTCAGGGTCATCTTGCTCACCTGGCAGGATTTTGTTTTTTCAAGAAGTGAACTACTGGGGGCTGCCCCCTTGAGTTGCCTGTTAAAGGCGTGGTCCTTGAGATGGGGATAGGCCTAATGGATGGTTGTTAAGTCAGGGTTGTCTCCTTTGTTATGGGAATGGGGTCCAGTGGCAGGTCAAACCTGGTGAACAAGTATTTACATCTTAGCATCCTAAATTTTGCCCTGACAGGCCTCTTTAGCAGACTGCTTATACAGGGTGTACTTTGGAGGCAGTGCTCCCTTAGCTGAATTCTACTTTGTGTGTGTCTTAGTAGGGTTTCTATTAGTCAAAAGACACCATGACCATGGCTGCTCTTATAAAGGAAAACATTTAATTGGGGCTGGCTTACAGTTCAGAGGTTTAGTCCATTATCGTCATGGTGGGAAGTATGGCGGCATGCAGGCAGACATGGTGCTGGAGAGGTAGCTGAGAGTTGCTACATCCTGGTCTTCCAGGAGCAGGAAAATAACTGTGAGCCACTGAGCCTGGGCTTGAGCCTCTGAGACCTCAATGCCCACCCCCTACAGTGACACACTTCCTCCAATAAGGCCACACCTACTCCAACAAGGCCACACCTCCTAATAGTTTCACTCCCATGGGCCAAGCATCCAAGCACATGAGTGTATGGGGGCCGTTCCTATTCAGACCACCACAGTGTTACTTAATGTCTCCTAAGCAAATCGCTTCTATTACTCTGAGTTTCTTCTTCATCACTATGACCTAAACACACAAGACCCACTTAAGGGGAAGGACACTTTGGGCTCACAGTTTCAGATGGGTCAGCCATGGTTATTTGGTCCCTCTTCTTATTGACCCAGAGTACTGTAGTGGGAGCATGTGAGTAAGAGCTTCTTCACTCTATGGTTGACAGGAAGGGCAGAGCTGGGACAAAATGGGGTTTATTTAAGATGTCTTTTAGGTATCTGTAGAGAAAGGTCAGGTAGACATTTACCCAGATAGGGATGGAGTTTAGGCAGCTCTGGATGGGAGAGGAGGAGCTGGGACCTGTCTGCATGTATGTGGTAAGGAAACAATGGGGTTGGAGAGAGAGAGAGAGAGAGAGAGAGAGAGAGAGAGAGAGAGAGAGAGAGAGAGAGCGCGCACAGAGGCAGAGAAGGACAGAGACAGACAGACAGAAAGACAGGGAGGAGAGAGGAAGAAGGGAGGTCCTACCAGGAGCTTAGGCTAACTAAGGAGAGAGAAGATGAACAGTGAGCTGCATTAGCTGCTGCTGAGGAGCCAGTTCAGGCGAAGGCTGAGTGGCATCTTCTCTCTTTAGCAAGACTTTTGGGGTTTGTTGTTTGTTTGTGTTGAGAATTCTAGTTCTATATGACCGGGGAGAGATGGGGGTTGAGATGTCCAGGGCCAGTGTATCCGTGTTCCATGTCAGCAACTCAGACCATGTTTTTCTGTTGTATGGGCTACCTGTAGAAAGACCACCCAGGAGGCCTGAATAAGTCAAATTCTATTCTCCAACGGCAGGGCTGTCCCACACAGAGTAGCTGGAAGCAGCCCCAACCTCAGATTTAAAAGCTTGAGCTTTTAAAGGCAAAACTGCAGTTGTGTGATTGGACAGAAAGGTGGTTGTGGACGTCGGTGGGAAGCAGGCAAGTGCTGTTTGCAGCAGCGGAGAAATAGCAGAGACTCGGCCTTCTCATAACCTTGAGGTCAGGGACGCACTGTGTAGACGGTTGTGTAACCAGTGACCAGTTTACCCAAGATAATTTTAGCACTTAAAGTTTTTCCTAAGAATACTCTCACGGGATAGCGTAACTATAGTTTAGTAGCCCACCACATTCTTCTCTGGTTCTCGTAGAATGAGTCAAATGATTGGGTCAGTCTGGGGAATTTCCTTTTAGGGCCCTTGGTGTCTCTAGTGT